ATATATATATATATATATATATATATATATATAATTTTTTTTTTATGTGTAATGTTTCCTGTGAACAAAATAATGCCATTTTTCACTTTTGAGCTAAAGGTCTAGGATTTTTCTTTCAATGTAAAATATCTCTGTCTCTTCCATCTTTATTTGACCCTCTAACTCTAGCACTCTCTATTCTAATTCTATTCTTAAAAAAACTTGTCCCTTTTAGACTTGCACTCTATTCATTTACTAAAAACTTACACTAGCTTTTCTAATCTTTTTGTATTCTATCTATTTGTTTTCTTTTTATTTATTATACAATTAACAAAAGCAAAAAAGGCCTCTAACACTAGCTTGCTCAATTATTTTCCTATTCTATCTGTTTTCTTTTTCTTTTCTATATAATTAAAATAAAACTTGTGCTGCGTTAAGCTAACTGAGACTAGCACTTGCATATATCATTGTCCTCATTTGTAAGCCGCTTTGGATAAAATGTACTAAATGACTAAATGTAAATGACTAAATGTAAATGTAATCGTGGTTTTAAATACATTTGAACAATTACTCAAAATGCCATGTTAAGGTCTCTCTGAAATTTAAACGTGGGACTATGCAGTGGCTAATGCGGTCCCGAAGAACCACAGTCCTGCAGAGTTTCAACCCAACCCTAATCAAACACACCTGATCAAGCTGACCGAGGTGTAAGGGTTACTAGAAAGCTAGGTGAATTTTTATCAAGGTTGGAGTAAAACTCAGTGACTGTGGTTCTCTAGGACTGACGTTGGACACCGCTGGACTATTGGTTTGAAACCATAATATATTCTCGTTCATTGAAGTAAATGCTACATTTGCCAACATTTAATAATAAATATTGAATACATTATTGTTGTATAATTTTTCACAAAGTACATTTTGTGAGAAAATAGAAGCATGAGATTGAGCCCAGACATGTCTCTTAACATGTTAATACAAAATAATTAATTGATACAGTTCTTTTTTCAGTGATGCAAATCTGCGGTTAATATTAAAAAAGTCAATTTAATTTAACAGTTTAATTTAATTTAAATTCAATTAATTTTTACTTTTTTTTTTCCTAGGTTAAAATAGTCTCAAATGTCCTGAAATAAAGATCTGATCTGACCAAGTGGATCTGATACTGTGATGAATTTGTATTTATTTATTCATTCATTCATTCATTCATTTTTGTAGGTATGTTGCTAATGCCATATTTCTACTCTTGACAGACACTTTTATCCAAATTAACTTACATTGCATTTAAG